CCCATATGGTTTGTCCATAACCCCTGGGATGGGTCCACAACCCCTGGGATGGATCCGTAATCCATGGGACAGATCCATAACCCTTGGGATGGATCTGTAACCTGTGGGATGGATCTGTAACCTCTGGGATGGATGTGTAACCTGTGGGATGGATCCCTAACCCACATGGTACATCCATAACACCTGGGATGGATCCATAACCCCTGGAATGGATCCATAACCTGTGGGATAGACCCATAACTCACAGGGTACATCCATAATCCCTGGGATGGATCCTTAACCCTTGGGATGGATCCATAACCCACGGGATGAATCCATAACCCATGGGACAGATCCATAACCCCTGGGATGGATCCATAACCCATGGGATGAGTCCATAACCCCTGGGATAGATCCATAACCCATGGGATGAATCCATAACCTGTGTGATAGATCCATAACCCCTGGAATGTATCCATAACCTGTGGGATAGACCCATAACCCACAGAGGATACATCCATAACCCATGGGATGGATCCGTAAGCCCTGGGATGGATCCATAACCCCTAGGATGAATCTATAACTTATGGGATGGATCCTTAACCCTTGGGATAAATCCCTAACCCACATGATACATCCATAACCCTGGGGATGAATCCATAACCCCTGGGATAGATCCATAACTCATGGGATAAATCCATAATCCGTGTGATAGATCCGTAACCCCTGGAATGTGTCCATAACCTGTGGGATAGACCCATAACCCACAGGGTACATCCATAACCCCTGGGATGGATCCATAACCCACAGGGTACATCCATAACCCACAGGATGGATCCATAACCCATGGGACAGATCCATAACCCATAGGATGGATCCATAACTCATGGGGTGGATCCATAGCCCCTGGAATGTAACCATAACCTGTGGGATAGACCCATAACACACAGGGTACATCCATAACCCCTGGGATGGATCCATAACCCATGGGATGAATCCATAACCCATGGGATAAATCCATAATCTGTGTGATCAATCCGTAACCCCTGGAATGTGTCCATAACCTGTGGGATAGACCCATAACCCACAGGGTACATCCATAACCCATGGGATGGATCCGTAACCCCTGGGATGGATCCATAACCCACGGGGTACATCCATAACCCACAGGATGGATCCATAACCCATGGGATGGATCCATAACCCATGGGATGGATCCATAACCCATGGGATAGATCCATAACCTGTGGGATGAATCCATAATCTGTGTGATCAATCCGTAACCCCTGGGATGGATCCATAACCCACAGGGTACATCCATAACTCACA